TGGATCTCCTAGCCCTCCCTCCCCAGCGCCTGGCACATCTCACAGAAGGCTCTCAACAGGCCTGTGTGGAATGAATGAATGAATGAATGCAGCATATCTGGGTAGATAAAGAGTGCTGGCAAACTTGTCCTGCGCAAGGCCAGATAGTAACTGTTTTAGGCTTTGGGAGCCATCCACGGTCGCTGCCACAGCCACAGCCACGCAACTCTGCATGGACCACATGTGTCACATGGTCGTGGCTGGGCTCCCGCAGCGCAGCGGGCTGGAACTGGTCCAGGGGTTACGGTTTACCAACCACCACCTGCCCGCCCCCCCTCCCCCATCCCCCCGGCCTAAAGAATTATCTTTTTAATTCGGACAAAAGCTCAAGTTTGGTTATTTGTTTCCTGGGATGTTCACAGCGCCCACCAGTCACTTTGCTGAGTGATAGCGGGTCTGCGAAGATTACGGCTGGAGGGTTCATGTATTTCCTCCGCCTTCAAATGAGGCCCCACTACTTCCCGGTTCTTGGCTCAGCCTCCGACACTCCCACCTAAAACACCAACAGTGTGGTGTCACCAACACGGAGACCTCAGCCTTCCTCGCCGGCCTGGCCTGTTCACCTTCCAGCTCTGACTCTCCTGCTGGCTCAAGGCTCCAGCTCAGAGTTAGCCCAGGCCCCTCGCCCGGCCTCAGGGGGAGCCCAGGGGGTGGCAGTCAGGGAGGGGCTGACAGGCGATGAGAAGCAGGAGGAGAGCACCCGCAGCCTGGAGGCCTCTGCCCCAGCCCTTTCTCTCCTTCCTCCCAGTGTGAGCGGGTGGAGCGCGGGCCACCTGGGGGACATGCCGATTAGGGGGAAGTGACGGCTCTTCCACAGGGCCCCTGGCTTCCCTGGGAGAGTGACAGGAAGTGTGACAAGCTTGCAGGTCGCACCTTCCCGTCCAACTGTTCCTGACAGATCGGCTTCCCTGTTGGAAAGATTCCGCGGCAGGGGGCCCGGGACAAAGCAACACCTCTGCCTGGGCACAAGCAACTTCAGCTGCAGCCCTCCCTGCTCACCTCACTCGGCCACTTCGCACAGTGTTCACAGGCCCCTTCGGACCCAGTGTCTTCAGATCCGGGCCAGGGCGGGTCTGAGAAGTCCTTCCGAAGCCGGGTCTTTCTCTGGGCCCGGCAAGGGGGGTGCCTCCTCATGCACAGCTGCTTCCTCCCAAGGTCCCGGGCACTGGGCCTCCTTCCAGAATGCACGACAGTTATGGGGCAGGGAGGAGATTAGTTTCAAAACAGTTCATCTCTCTTTTTCTTTCATGAGGCATCGTAATATATTTTAGTGGGTAAGAGCCCATTTGTTGGCTGGAAGGAACGTCTGTGTTTAAATCTCAGCCCGAAGCTTCTTAGAGTGTGAACGTGGGTCTTGTTTCCTCATCTGTAAAATGGCCTGATGGTGTTCCGCCTTCAAGTCAGGCTTAGAATGAAAGGAGGTCAGGTAGATGCTGAACAGACTTTGGGACATGGTCCATGGTCTTTGTCATCCTCACTGTTGATGGGAGAGTGACATTTGTCTGGCAAGTGTGATGATGTGCCAGGGCTGCGTGATGGAGGAGGGGGTGATGGGGGCAAGGCCTGCGGCCCGTGCTGAGAGCTGTTCTCCCCAGAAAGAGAACCCAAGGCCGGGGAGTGGAGGGACGCGTTTCCAGCCTGTCACCAGGAGCGATGCGAAACGTCCCCACGTGTCCCTTTCTGATGACAGCAGGCAAGGCCACTGCTGAAAGACAAGGACTTCTATTCACAGGGGCACAGAGGAGCCGGCGTCTGAACATCTGACTCGGCAGAAGGAGAGGCAAGGGCGCCGAGTGGGCTCAGAGGCAGGCCCAGCCCGCGGACCCTGGCGGGGGGTCAGCAGCGAGCTGCGCCCAGGTCCCCCCGCAGCAGGTGACCTGACCGCAGGGTCTGGAGGAAGGACCCAAACGGGGTGACCTCCACGAGGCCATCATCATCGCCATGTCTGACCGTCGGTCCCTCACTCACGTTTCCTGGGATGTTTTACTTTCAATTCATCTGTTTGTTTCGGCCTCACCCTATGCTTGTGCGTCAGTGCAGGCTGGTCCTGTTTCTCCTGTCTTGACTGGTGAGCTGACCAGTGACGTGACCCGCTTGGTGGCAAAGCTGGGATGGAATCAAGACTCTCCACCCTTCAGGCTGAAGGTCTTTCTCCTATGAATGTGTCCCACCCCCTTTCTGATTGTTCCTGAAGGGCCGTCAGGAGCCAGGCTGGTTCCTGGTCAGCTTAGCGAGGGGAGCTCATTGTCCATGCTGAGGAAGCTGGCTGTCATCACGGCTGCCGTGGCTGTGGCTCTCAGCAGGGGTGCTGTGTGCACAGAGTCCTGCACCCCACCCCTCCGTGCCCAGACTTTGGAATCTGATGTGGCAGTAAGATCTCAAGAAATATGTATATGTATATATTGTTAATCCTCACCTGAGGATAGTTTTTCCATTGCTCGTCAGAGATACTGGAAGGGAGGAAGGAAAGGGGAGAGAGAGAGAGAGAGAGAAAGAGAGAGACATCGATGTGAGAGAGACGCATCTACTGGTTGCCTCCACAAGCACCCCCACCCCTGGGAGCAGTTTTCAAGAGTCTCATGTTAATATTGCGTCAGTAGCTCTATTTAATGACCCGCCTGTACCTGCGACTCTTGCCCGGTACCTCATGGTTCCCTCCCAGTGCCAAGATGGGCTCTGCCGTGTGGCTCACTGTGGCCACTGAGATGCTGGAACACCCCATGCCAAGGCTCCTTCCCCCGCCAGCCAGCTTCCCGGGGACGTGAGGAGCAGGAGAGCTGAGTCAGTTTATCCGGGGGCATTCTCAAGTAGGATGTCTTGGGTCATCATTTATACAAAAAAAAAAAAATGTGCTGTTTATCTGAAATTCACATTTAACTGGGTGTCCTGTACTTTTATTTGCCAAATCTGGCTACCCTGTCCCCGCTGAACAGCCCCCAGGTGACTGAATTGTCAGCCGACTGCAGACACATGAGTGAGTGAGCCCGGCCCAGATGAGTGCACCTGGCTCCGCTCAGCAGAGCTGCCCATCCCATCCCCAGGCTCCAGAGAAAGCAGAATGTCTGTGGTTCTCAGCCACAGAGCTCTGGGGTGGTTTCTTACGCAGCATTAGCTGACCGATACACCCAGTGTATCACCTTAGAAGAAGCACTCTGTTAGCACAATGAGCTGTAATGGCAGGAAGCCGTCAAAAACACCAGCGTGTGTAGAAACAAAACTTGCCTCAAGTACAACCTTGTGATAACTGTGGCTTTTCTGAGGTCTCTGACTATCCACCGTGGTTTGTGTTAGCATTGCTGGCACGGTGAGGTGTGCAGTGTCTGTGTGTGAGCTCCCCACCCCCTAATTCTGCGGATTTGGAGAGATGCTGCCTTTTTAAATGTGTGGTTGCTGTTCGTCTCTGAAGTACCCGTTTGAAGCTGAACGGTCAATTGTTCCAAGAAGCCACCATAACAGAGGTCGATTGTGCTTCAGACTCCTGTGACTTCTAAAACCTGGGCCAGAGAGGGCTGGTGATGAACTGTGAGGCTCTGGGATAGCTTCAGGGGGGACAAAATGTACGCAGACTGGGCCTTCCTTCCTTCCAGCCTTCCTTCTTGTTTGCCTTTTTTTCTTCTTCTTAATATCACAAGAAATTAATTTTTCCATTTCCATTGGAAAAATTTCCAGTAATGCCAATGTATATAGCAAAAGGCAAGGCAGTACCTCTAATCCTTCTCCCTCCCCCTCTCCCTCCCCCTCTCCCAGACAGATCTGACCTCATGTTGCATGTTCTTCAAGTTCCTTTTTTAAGGCCCAAACACTGTGTATACCCACAGGAGATAATAACATCATCGTGGTTGTGAAAATGGCTGTTTTCGCTTAAAATGTCCCCTGCAGCGCCTGCCTCTTCTCGAATGAACGGAGAGTTTTTCTGGGGCATGCTGAGGGTTGTTTATGCTCGTCCCTGTTCATGGGCATTTAGGTGTTTCCACTTTCTATGTTAAAAACAAATTTCCAGTTAACATCCTACAAGGAACAGGCTTGGGCTCAAGAATGACTTGGGACTTCCCTTGGGATGTTCTCAGGGAAGAACTCCCGGCCCTGGGTGCCTTTGAAGTGTTGATAGCTATTGTCACGTGTCCTTTCCAGAGGCTTCACCAATTTGAAAGTTTCTCCCTGAACAATATGTGCGGCTTCCTACTCCACCTGTCTCCCCAGGCCAGGGACCCGTCTCTCATCTTTGCCAAACCAGGGGGTGAAAATGTTCACTTACTCTTATTTGAATTTCTTCTGTGATGAAAGAAGCGGGGGATTTTCCCACGTGTCTGCTGGCCGTTTGGTTTTCTTCTGTGGTGTTGCCCTTCCCTGTTGAACTCCTTGGCCGTCTTGCTGATTAAAACAATGTTCTTTATGGATTTCTCTGGATGTTGATGAAAATATTTATAATCCTTTATTCCAGTAATTTTTATCACTTTAACTTTATTGCATAATTGATCAACCATAAGCTATTTTTTCACTTTTTATTATTTATTATTATTTTAATATATGTTACACATTTCAGAGAGGAAGGGAGAGGGAGAAAAAGATAGAAACATCAATGATGAGAGAGAATCATGGATCGGCTGCCTCCTGCACACCCCACACTGGGGACCGAGCCCGCAACCGTGCATGTGCCCTGACTGGCAATCGAACCATGACCTCCTGGTCCACAGGTTACCACTCAACCACTGAGCCAGGCCATCTGGGCTTTTTCCAATTTTTAAGTAAGCTTTTAAATCTAGAACAGTTTTAGATTTACAAACAAATATTGAAGAAATGCAGAGAGTTCTCATAGACCACCTGATCCCCCTAGTTCTAGTACTTGGCCTTAGTGCAGGGCACTGTCACCGTTAAAGCCCTGGTGTAACATTATCCTTAACTACAGTCGGCACGCATTCACATTTCCTTGGTTTTTACCGAGCGACCTTTGTCTCTTCTAGGAGGCCCCCAGGACAGCACGTCACTCTGTCACCGCGTCTCCTCGGGCTCCCCTCGGCCATGACAGTTTCTGCTTCTCGGTGACCATGGCGGTTTCGATGAGGATGGGGCAGGTACCTTATAGAATGTCCTTGAACTGGAATCTGATGTTCTTCTCATGATTAGACGAGCGTTCTGTGTGCACTGGGGGGAGGAAGACCTTCAAGGAGAAGCACCGTTTTCATCACATGGTATCAAGCGTCCCTACTGTCCACACGACCTGGCACTGTCGATGTTAAACTTGATGGCCTTTCGGAAACAGTGCTGGCCAGGTTTCCCCACTGATAGGCCCACCTTCACTTCCCCCTTCCCATAGTGTACGTTTAAGAAGGGGCCACCGTGTACAACCCACCCGCAAGGTGTGGGGTGTGGATATTCTCTACTCCCTAGAGGGCAGAGTAGCTACATAGATGCTCTGGAATTTCTCTGCGCGGAAGAACTGTCTGTGGCCCTGGCCGGTTTGGCTCAGGGGATAGAGCATCAGCCTTCAGACTGAAGGGTCCCAGGTTGGATTCCAGTCAAGAGCACATACTTCAGTTGTAGGCTTGATCCCTGGCCCCCGTCGAGGTTGTATGAAGGAGGCAACCAATCGATGTGTGTCTCTTTCACATTGATGTTTCTCTCTCTCTGTCTCTCCCCTCCCTTCCACTCTCTCTAAAAATGAATGGAAATATATCCTCGGGTGAGGATTAACAAAAAAAAGAAGAAGAAGAAGAAGAAGAAGAAGAAGGAGGAGGAGGGGAGGGGAGGGGGAGGGGGAGGGGGAGGGGGAGGGGGAGGGGGAGGGGGAGGGGGAGGGGGGAGGGGGAGGGGGAGGGGGAGGGGGAGGGGGGGAGGGGGAGGGGGAGGGGGAGGAGGAAGAAGGAGGAAGAAGGAGGAAGAAGGAGGAAGAAGGAGGAAGAAGGAGGAAGAAGGAGGAAGAAGGAAGAAAAAGGAAGAAGAAGGAAGAAGAAGGAGAAGAATTGTCATGTTCTCCTCTACTTTATTTATTTATTCAACTGTTTATTTAGATCAGTATGGACCCATGAGTATTTACTGTATTCTTTGGGAATAACCCAGTAGTTCTTCACTTGTTTTGCTTGACTTATTCCCACGTTGGCCATTGGCAGTTCTCCTGTGTCCCTTTGGTAGCTTCTCCTTCCTCGTTGTGACTATTTATTTTATTTTATTGTTTTTGTATTTCAGAGAGGAAGGGAGAGGGAGAGAGAGAGAGAAACATCAATGATGAGAGAGAATCATTGATCAGCTGCCTCCTGCATGCCCCACACTAGGGATCAAGCCCTCAACCCTTGCATGTGCCCTGACTGGGAATCGAACTGTGACCTCCTGGTTCATAGGTTGACACTTAACTGCTGAGCCACGCCAACGGGCTGTGACCTTTCTTTGTTTTAACACTCCCTTACTTTCTGGCATTGCAAGGCTCCTCTTGTGTATTTTGTGGCCCTGTCTCAGAATGTATCTCTTTCTCCCGGGGATCCTAGTTTCTTTTTGTGGAGAATGATGTTAGCAAACAACATTGGGTGGGAGGTGTGCGTATTGCCGGGAATTGGTACTGTCAGGCTTTTATTGGATTTTAACCATTCTACTCGGCCTGTAGTGGCACCTGGTTGTCCATGGGATTTGAAATTCCCTGATGATGAATGACATTGATAACCGCCCCCCCCTTGCTTATTTGTTTGCCTTCTGCATAGCTTCTTTGGTGAGGTGTCTCCACAGATCTTTTGTCCATTTAAAAAATCGTGGTAAAATATCCATACCATAACATTTACCATGTAACCATTTTTAAGTATACGTTCACATTCTTGTGCAAGAATCACCAATACTTGTCTCCAAAATGCTTTCATTTTCCAAAATGAAAACTCCCCACATTCACCAATAACTGCGGCCTCCAGTACCCACGAGCTTGTACTGGGTCCCCCATCTGTATGCTCTCAGGGTTCTCCAGAACCTCTTATTTAACATGCATCATAATTGTAAATAAATAAATACTCTTACAGGTTCATGACTGTCTGCCCCACTGAGGGCTTGGAGGAGGGCGCAGGGGGTCCCGGGGCCTGTCCTCCTGGCACCTCCAGTGACCGAGCCCGCCTTCAACCCCTTCCTGCTCAGAAGACCTGGAGGGAGTTCCCTCTTCCTGAAACACGACCTGCTCAGCGCATTCGGAAACACGTCAGTTTCCAGCACAGGCCGGACGGAGAACAGGGCGTCTGGTGTGGGTTCGATTTGAAGGTGGTAATGGCCTCATCTCCGGCGGAAGATCGAATATTGGGAACGCTTGGCAAGTCCTGGCTGTTTGACAAGGCCTTACAGAAACGCGAGGCACTCAGGGGACCATTAGCTGGTTTCTAAGCGAAAATGAAAGGGAATAGAGAGATCCAGAAATGTAGACCCCTGAAGGATCAGAAAAACGGACTGATTCAAGACCCAGATGGCAGAAAGTAAGACTGATGGCAGAAAGTAAGACTGAGAGCCTGTATCTAAATGAGCAAACCCTGCCACAGAGACCAGATTAGGAATGCAGTCTTTCCACGGAACCCTAACCCAGATAGGCATCACGCAATTGAGAGAGGGAGGCATGGGGGCAAGGAAGCAAAGAGAGAAGGCAGGTATGAAAAATGCACCCAGGAGAGATCTTTGGGAATGGCTGTTGGCCCATAGAACTGACCGGGAGAAAAAAAGATCAAACGTCTACTAAGGTTTTGTGCGGATTGTCTAACCAATGATACCACAGTTTCAGACTAAAACAAATCCTTGAAACAGCCCTTGGCTCTCTGACCTTCTGTCAGCAAACAGCAGACTCCAAAAAATCCCCGGAAAGCCCCTTCCCAGGACCGACTTCAGGCACGGTCATGAAAGAGAACGAGCAAGAGAAAGCCTCCCAGAGGGCAACACGGGACCACTGAGGGAGACGGGCCTGCTCGTTCTGCCCAAAGAGCCTAACGAAAGTCTGGGCCACTGCCTTTTGCTGGGGAAGGCAGCCTCCGGGCCTGCCCGCGAGATGCCCACATCGCTGCAGTCAGCAAGCAACTGCTCTGTGCCTGCTCTTCTCTCCTGTTGTGAGTGGGAGGTTTCACTGCGGAATTCCTATCCCTGCCCCACCCTGTCTCCGCTGGTCCTCCATCTCTTTCTCTCTTTCCCACCTGCAGGTTGGAGGTTAATACCTAGGCTGACCCTGAGAATCCTGTGCTAAAAAAAGCAGTGTGTCCTTTAGCCTGGGTCCCTGAATGACCACGTGGAGCAGAGCCTCTGTGGCCACACGACACGGCTGCGTTAGAGAGAAACCAACGCCTCATGCGTTAGGATGTCAACATTATGGGCTTATTTGTTACAGCATCTAGAGTTCATTGTCCTGACAAGTACATTGAGTGACTATCTCGAGCCACACAGTAACTCAGACAAAAGTGGGCCCGGAGCTCAGGTCTCTTGACCCCAGTCCAGTAAGCATTCTATTGAAAACATGCCTCGTGCTGAATCTAAAATGACAGGTCTCTCCCCCGAGGCCCGCCCGTGTTCACTAGAACGACGACACGGCCCTGCTTTTCAGACGACCGATCTGGTCTGGGTTAGGCAGCGTGATGGAGGCATCCGCCGGCTGACCCAATTCTCTCCCTCTCCCGCGTGGAAGGATTTCATGAAGGAATGTAAGTGCACCGTCACCCTCCGCCTTCGTGAGCTCCGACAGCATTTCTGGGGCTGTGCCTGCATTTACTGTCCTTGCTCGCCAAGGTGCTTTGGTGGCCGTGGGCACAGCGGCCTCCCTCTTGAGAAACATGGGAATAGCCCTCGGCGCTTCATCTACTGTGTCACCGTATTTTTAACAGCAATTATTCGTGTGTGTGTTTTGTGAGAGCCTCTCGCCAGCAGGCCCCCTGATGACACTGGAGGGGCTGGAGGGCTCGGACCCTGGGAGTCGGCTTCTTGTTGTGACGGCAGCTCTTCCCAGGGCTGTGCCCACGGCCGGCTCCTCGCTCTGTAAACCCTCCACCCTCGGCCTCCTCTGCACTTAAGGGCTCAAGGTTAGAGTTCGAAGCCCGGGCTTTCTCTGCATCAGCAGAGAAAAGAAGCAGACTGTTCCGAAACAGACGGAGCTCCGGGAACAAGGGCGATGCGCGCCCTTAAGCGGGGCTGCCGGCAGCAGCGATGCTCATACAGAGCATTTGTTTACCGAGCACGTTCATATATAATCCGTTTTTCCCGCAACCACAGTTTGGGGGGTGGGGGGCTGCATTATAACTTGTCCCATCGTCTTTGAGATCCAGGTCTTTTGGGGCACCCCGGGAAGACTCTGCCACGCCCCCGCCTCCACCCCATTTCATTTAGATGCCTTTTCATTTTGTTTTGTTCTCCCATAATAGTCTAAGCTTATTTGTATATCTTTTAAATTTATTTTTAAAATAGAGTTTATTGGGGTGACATTGGTTCACAAAACCATACGGATTTCAAGGATACAACCTAATAAAACATCATCTGTACACTGCATGGTGCGTCTCTTTCCGTCCCCATTCCCCCCCCCCCCCCCCCCCCACCCACCTTACAGGCCATGAACTACAAGGAGGAAGAAGTGTCTCCATTTCAATACCCGGGAAACTCGATGACAGAAAGATAAAGAGACCTAGCCAAGGACTCAGAACTGGGGACAGGATACAGGCCTAAGTCCCACATCCGCGCCATTTCTGTTACACTAAACGCTGCTCCCTCCCACAGGGCCCAGGGCAGCAAGAACTGCCAGGGCTCTGCCTCCTTCTTAAAAGGGTTTGCACACCTGGCCCTGCTGCTCACTAATTCTTGCGCGCGCGCGCTTTCTATATATACTTTTTGTATTAATTTGAGCGAATTAGCCCTCTGAAGAGTTAAATGAGATAATGTACATCATTCTCTGGGGCATAGTAAGTGTGCGAGAAATGTCCTTATGATTACTCTTCACTTTTAAGAAGGAGGCAGAGCCCTGGCAGTTCTTGCTGCCCTGAGCCCCGTGGGAGGGAGCAGCGTTTAGTGTAACAGAAATGGCGCGGATGTGGGACTTAGGCCTGCATCCTGTCCCCAGTTCTGAGTCCTTGGCTAGGTCTCTTTATCT